GCCGGCTCATTGCACAGATGGAAAGACTGAGGCCGGCCCCAGAGGAGCCCTAGCAGCCGGTAGTCACAGAGAAGCACACACAGGGCCATGGATACATCCGGACAAACACACCAGCAGAAGCCTCGCCCCGCCGCTTCTCGCCCCCCAGCCCAGCCCCCCCGCAGCCGATGCTGGGGAGGGAGTAGAGAGGGTCCTGGGCCTGCAGCCCAGCCCAGGTGACAGACCCACCAGGCACTGGTGCCCAGTCCCACTGCTCCCCACCCGGGGCTGGAGGCTAGGCTGGGACCAGGGACCAGGGCCCCCCTGGGCCCGGTGAGAGTCTAACCCTAACTTAACCCCGCACGTGAGCCTTCGGGCTCAGATCTGTCCCTGGGAAGGGAGGGGCCTCAGGAGAAGGTTTCAAAGTCCAGGGCCTTCCCGGCACCAGCGCGGGTTAGAGCGGAGGCGGGGGGGCTGGGGGCAGGCTCCACCACCTCCTTTATCCTGTAGCCTCACTGCTTACCACCTACTGGGGGGTAGTTTGTGTATTTGTTATTAGTCCTCACATTTTCCATTGAGAGAGAGTGGCAGGGAAGAAAGAGAGAGAAACGTCCTGTGAGAGAGGCAGGGACTGGTTGCCTCCCCGACGGGGGGAGTGGCGTGCTCTTGACCAAGACTTGAACCTGGAGGGTGACATTCGCCACTGAGCCAAGCTGGCCAGGGCGAGGGTCGGGTGTAGTCACCCATTTCACCAGGAGGACGTTGAGGTCTAGGAAAAGGAAGGGACCAAGAAGTGGAAGTGCTAAGACCCCCGCCCATGGTGTCCCCAACACAGCAGTGGCCCTCTGCGGGGGCAGGACAGCGCGTGGAGCCTGTAACTGGGGGGCTGGCTTCCCACATGCCAGCCACTGGGCCAGGCCCACCCCCCGCCCAGGTTTACAGCTGTGAATACTGGACCTGTGCTCAGCTGGGGGGGCGGGAGGTGTTAGGACATGGGCTTCTCCGGCGTCTCCGGAGGCCAAGGCTCTGAGCTCTCCTCTGGACCATCCCCCTCTCCCACCAGCCACAGAGCAAGCTGAGTCAGGCAGGGATGAGTCAGGACTTTCCCATCGCACCCCCTCCCACTTTTATCCCCAGGAGTGGGCCCAGCTCCCAGAGACCCCGCCTCCTCACACAACCCCAGGAGAGTGCGGGAAGGCCTGGGGATGTTAGCAGGAGGGCTGGGTCCTTCCCCGTGGGTTCAGTTTTTTAAATTAAACTGATTGGGGTGACACTGGTTCATAGGATCATGTAGGTGTCAGGTGTGGCTTTCTACGTGACAAGATCAGTATAAGGCCCACCACCCAGCTCAAATCATCTTCTGTCACCATATATTACACCCCTGTACTCCTACCACCCACCCCATGGGTGAAGTCTCCCCAGGCCAGGCCCAGAGCCCCTGTGATGGTGAAAAGCAAGGGGTGGGGCTCTGGGAGCCC